GGCACAGAATGGGTGGGGTTAAAGAAGTTACTGGCACAGAATGGGTGAAGTTGAAGAATTAACTGGAAATCGATGGAGGAAGTTAAAGAACTAACCAGCAAAGAACTGGATGGCTCAAAGAATTGATATAGTTTAAGAAGTAATCACAAGGAGTGGGATGAAGATACAGTAACTTGAAAAAGTGAGTTGGGACGAACAGGCACCTGACAAAAAAAAATGGATGTCCAAGTGAAGCTCTAAGACAATCACTGTTGAGAGAGGTCAAAGGTACAGAATTGGATTCCATCCCTGATATAAAAACTGGATAGAATGGAATGGATACATAAATGGTACTTTATTAATATCCCACCCCAGATGATGTCACAGGACAGTCAACATTTTAGAGTGTGGTAAGACTGGGTTTTCTGGCTTTCTGATGCTTTTAGCGACCCCAAAACATCTAGTACTGGCCCTAACCCCAACCCACCTACGTCCCACAAAAGAGTACAGCCTAGGTCCCACGACTGCATGCAGCCTATCTACCACCCCCTGAAATATTAGACTGTCTCGTGACCTGTGAATTTCCCCTTTTTGGGGTAGGATATTAATAAAGCAACGAATAAACTGTGAGTCCCATGTGACATTTAACTGAACAACAAGAGGATGACAAAAAATGAATAGATTAAAAAAAAAAAAAGTCTTTTCCTTGCCATCAGGCGTATTGCGCATAAAGTGCTAGAGCTATATTTTACAGACCAGCCGGTGCTCGGTAGGTGATGCAGTCAACATCATGTCAGCCGCCTTTACTTCCAAGGACCTTTTCTGGTACCCATTTGAGACTTTTGACCTGGGAAGCAAGGTTGTGAAATGAAAAAGCCAAGCTCTATTCAGATCTGAAGCCACGATCTTCAGATTCGCAGGCAAGTGTCTAGCTGCTACACCATGGCAGCTACCTCTGAAGAATGGGCGGAGCTGAGGAAGTACCTGACAAAGAATAGGTGGAGCTAAAGAATTAACTAGCAAATAATGGGCGGAGTTAAAGAAGTATCTGGCAAAGAATGGGTGGAGCTAAAGAAATAACTAACAAAGAATGGGTGGAGCTAAAAAAAATAACTAACAAAGAATTGGTGGAGCTAAAGAAATAACTAGCAAAGAATGGAGGCAGTTAAAGAAGTCCTTGGTGCTCTTGATCAATTCCACTGATGATTTTCCTTCATTTATCATCACAGATCCATCCGCATCAACTCTGTCTGTGGCTGTCTGTCTCTTCTCATGCTGATCATGCTGTTGTCATGATGCTCTCTAATTCCTCATTTCTTATCCCACGACCAAAGAGCACTGCCTCATATAGTTGTTTATAAAGTTTTAATGTCATTAATAATAACAATAACATTAATAATAATAAAAACAAGAGACACCCCGATTGCGATACATCCTTGCATTGCCGACTATTGCAGATAGGCTAAAGGTGCTGCAGACTGTCATTTCTCAGAGCAGCCACAGACAAAAAGTACCCTCTGCTTGAAGCTTTGGCTGCAGGTAAAGGTCAGAGGTTGAAAAGGGGAGGATCATGAATGGCTCAAGCACAAGACAGAATAAGTCTTATGCTTGCTAGAGAACACTGGACAAAGAGAGGTGTGGGCCAGAGTACCAGAGGAAAAGTCGGACCAGTATAAGGTCAGAACCACATTGGGCAAAATGTGCAGAGAGTGGTCAGTAGGTGCCATGGAGGCGGAAGTCAAATAGTTGAGTTATGACAATCTCACCCAGATGATCTAATTATCTTTACAGATGGCTCTGTGCTGATAAGGAAAAGAAGTGCCTGGGGGTTTGTAGTGAAAGCCAGTGGAAAATCTTTAGGGCAGGACAGCCTAGTACATGATATCACAACATCTAGCATGAGAATGGAGATGGAGGCGGTCACTACAGCTTTCAGGTGGCTAGAGAACAAGATGCACACACATGTCATTATTGTCACAGACTCTGAAAGCATGATGAGAAAGGTGAAGACAGGGATGCTTCAAGCAGAGTGGCATGCTTCACTGGGACGGTCACGGGTATGAGCATACTTTGGATCTTTTCTCCAGGTCACACTGGCATGGTGGGTAATGAACAGGCAGACAGATTGGCTGGATCTGCACCACTGGGTGGTGAATGGATACATGACAAGGCAAATGTGGTCAGGGCCCTTTCAGAACAAGCAACGGAATCAGTAAAGAAACAAGATTATTATGACCTGGAGAGAATGATAAAAATGGGTGTGACCAGAGAGTCTGGCTGGGTCACTACACTCAGAGAAACAAGATGGACATATAACCAGATTGCGACTGGTACCATTAGTGTTGGAACTCTGCACTGGCTGCTGAAGATGGGGATGCAGCTTATAAAGGAATGCCCTGAGTGCTGTGATGTCAATTCTTGACTCACCTCAACTGTCATTAATTATGTTTTACTGTGACTAATAATGTGTTATTGTCAATAATTATGTTTTACTATCATTAACAAGGTTTTACTGTCATTTATACTGTTTTACTGTCATTAACTTTCTGTAGGCCACAGATGTGATACTCCAGTCTCAAAAACCACACTTCTGCAGCCTCCAGATATTCAGACATGTGTGTGTAACAATGAGATTCCAACAACTAAACTGTCATTTTAATTTTAACTCTTCTGCCCCAGGAATACTGGAAAAAAAATGGGTCACGACCCCGCTGGAATTCCAGAAAACCCCTTTAAAAAAACCAAACAAACCCATTTTACATGGGTCATTAATAAAACTGGGAGCTGCTGTGGTGTAGTAGCCAGATCCCCACCTGCGGATCCAAAGGTCATGGGTTCAAACCTGAAAGGAGCTAGACTGAAAGAAACAATGACCGGGGCCCCAAGTCGACCAAGCCTTAAAGTAGCATGCAAAAGTTCTGGGAAGTAAAGGTGGCCGGCGTGATGCTGACCATATCATCCACTGAGTGCTAAATGAAGGTATAAATAAGTAATAGGTCTAGCCCTATATGCCTGAAGGGCATGGAAGAAGTCTCCTTTACTTTAAAAAATTTCTTTAACATGTATTTATATAAATTTTCAATATAAACATGAAAAGGATGCAGCACTAAATGAAAAAATATGCCCAGAGACTAAAACAAAAACAATACATGTATCCAGTGACTCATGCTGTGACCCTGTGACCTCTGCCACTGAGGATTAAGGGAACATCTAACATCAACTTGACTTTAAGAAAACTATTTAGCTAATAGGGAAATACCCCAAACGCTATTTTTAGTAAATATATTCATATCCCGACCTTGTAAATGTTTGCAGAGGTAGGAAATAAGACAACAGAATGAAACAGACAGTTCACTAGTCAGAAAAGTGAAATTTACGGGGAATTGAAGCCAACTGGAAATGTTGGTTTTGCAGCTGCTCAGCGCAAAAGGGTAAAAAAAAAAAAAAAACTACCCCCCCCCCCCCCCCCCCCCCCCCCCCCAATTTTGTCAGGTCTGACACCCTGTGACTCAAAGGACCACTTTTCTGATGTGAAACCAACAGGAATAAATCTGAGAAACCCTTTTAAATTTGATAAAACACTCATATTCAGGCTCCCTATGGTTAGAAATAACCTGCAGCCCACTAGGGCAGGTAACATCAACGTTACCTGCTGTAGCATAAACATAGTAAAAAGTAAAGTAAAGGACCCTTTTCCACACCTTTAGATGTACAGGGCATATAGGGCTAGACCTACATTTGTATAGACCAATCGGCACAAGATGGGTGTGTGTCAGCATCGCGCCAGTACAAACATAATTAAAATAAATATTTATCACATTAAATGGACTATTCCACTCTGGTTTACATTTATTCATTAGAGAGACAGTTGGAATAAGACTGCGTCTGCATTATATTGTCAGAAAAAGAATGAAATGGTTCGGACATCTTGTGAGAACGCAGCCAGACCAAACTGTATATGAGATTTTTTTTAAATTTACAGCAGAACATCTTGGAGGAAGATAAGGGGAAGACCAAGAAAAATATGGACAGATGGTGTAGCTGAAACCTACATTTATTCATTAGAGAGACAGTTGGAATAAGACTGCGTCTGCATTATATTCTCAGAAAAAGAATGAAATGGTTCGGACATCTTGTGAGAATGCAGACAGACCAAACTGCATATGAGATTTTTTTTTATTTACAGCAGAACATCTTGGAGGAAGATAAGGGGAAGACCAAGAAAAACATGGACAGATGGTGTAGCTGAAACCTGCAAAAAGATGAATAAATCTATCACCCAAGCCACCCAGGAAGTGCAAGACAAATACTGTAAACCACGACACTGGGCTACAACCTGGCAACTGTAAGATGACAAAAGAAGAAGAAGAAGAAGAACATACATTTTTACCCTGCAGATACAGTTACCCTGAGAAAGGCTGTAGGAGTGACCAGAAGAGATCAAATCAGGAATGAGTTCATACGAGATACAGTCGGCAAAAAAACCAATTCTAAATTACATAGAAAGACAGCAAATCAAATGGTTTGCCCACTTGGAGAGAATGCCTTCTGATGCTATACCATTCAAGGCATATACCAAAAGAGGAGAGGGATGTAGAGCAAGAGGGAGACCAAGAACAAGATGGAAGAATAGCATCAGAGAAACTATACAGTACCACGATGTGTCTTTGGTCGAAGCAGCCAGAAAAGCACGAAGCAGGACCTTATATCTCCCTCAACACGCGAAGCGGTAAAAGAGGACGTAAAGAAGATACAATTATTGTAGCTTTTATTTTTCTTTCGAACCCAATATCTGGCTGATCTTTATTTACTAAATTGATTTCCAAAAATAGTTAACCAATCAGCATGTAAGTTTAAACAGTAAAGTGTAACATTATTTACATATGTGGAATAATAAAATATGTTACATTATCCTCACACATTAAAACAAAAAAAAAATAAAAAAGCATAACAATTCATACAGTATTTATATTTCTTTCAGATAGATGAGATTTATAAGGCACAACTGCCTTAACTGTTACTCACACCTGGGCCTCACAGAGATTGATATACAAGTCACTGTCATAAGACACTGTGGCCGTGGACTCCTTTTCCTGACTAGGTGGATCGAACAATTCTATCCTCACATCATTCTTCTTACTCTTTTTATTTTCCAGCTTTTCATACCCAGTTGCACCGCCAGCATCTCTGCCAGATTTTTCAGCATGGTTGCAGAAAATATTTTCCGAGGGACCTTCAGCAGTATGTTCTGAATAATCTGCTTTAGTAACACTAAGCTCAACAGTTTGATTGGCTAAACCGCAGCCAGGACCTCCTCTTTTGCAGCAATCTCCCGGAGAGCCGTTACTTCGAAAGCCATCCTTTTCTTCAGCGATTTTGGTGAGGACAGCTTGTTTTGGCTTGTCACGGTCTTTGTGCTGGACAAAACACTGCAGCTGGACACGGACACCACCATCTCCTTTGCCATTGGAACTACTACTGCTGCTGTGTTTGCTGTTTTTCAATGGCGTGTGTCCATTATTAGCTACCTGATGGTTCTTCCCACTCAAAGCTCCTTCTGAGAAATCAATATCAAGAAGAGCGGCAGCTTCTGTCATAGCTGGGTTGAATAGGCAGCTGCTATGCTTCTGAAGTATCTCATTATTAGATGGATGACGTTCAAATATGGGCATGACGTAAAACAGAAGTCCTCCCAGTATCATGGCCACACCAGCAAAAATATACCCTGCTACGTGTGATTCATAGGCAGAGTTCAAATATGCTGGAAAAGAAAGTAGTAAAATATATTAAAAGAAGTGTTTAATACTTTAGTTAAAGATATTTTACCAAAAAGTTCCTTTAGAATAATTTAAATCTTAAACTGAAGTGTTTCACCCTCTTTATCACTACCATCAAGTGCCATGCTGACTGCAGGCAAATATGCATCTCCACAACGTGTGATTAACAGCAGGCATCAGTTTGCATATGAACAGTTGGATTTTGATATCATTGTTAACAATCAACACAAAGCAGTCTGCTGCCAAATTATCTGTAGCTGGAATTGAACTAGGTATTTTGGCATTACATACTGTGTTGGCTATGCCAGATGCCAAAAATTTTTAACTAGAAAAGAAAGATGTCCTGTCTTTGTCTGTTGCAGTCTTTGTCTTAATATCTCCACAATGAATCTACTTATTCTCGGCCTACAATAAAGGTGCTGGCCTGTTGGGGTATGAAGTGTTGGACCTTCATATATTCCAAGCCATACCGTGGCCATTTTAACAGCATTACGGGCTTCCGGGAAAAACAAGTGGTGCTGGGGCCCCTAAGACAATCACTCACAGGAATGAAATGTAAATGGTCGATTGTATTAACCACACATTTATTTTACTGGCACTTCAACAGAACTGGTGTTAAACATAAACATAGATTACATGGCACAATATGAAGTTACTACTAACTTCTTAATATAACAAGCATTAGCCATATTTTTTTCCACAGAACTGCTTTGTTATTGGTTTGAAGAAAATGTAAATGGTCTTCATGATGTCATTTTCCATGCACTTGAGTGAAAGCGAGTTCAAGCAATGCTATCTCATTTTGCTTCGAAGCATAGTTGAAAAAAAAAACAGTTTTATTCTTGAAAAAGAATGTTCTCCTGTACATTTGGTTACCATTATTTGCATTGACACTTTGGGTGCAGTTTTTTTTCAACATTCGGGGAAATAGATTTCAAACTGTCAAAAATTATTTGTCTGCAGGGAGAGCCTCAAAATGTTCGTTGAGACCCATGTAGTGCCCAAGATTCTCCACCCGCATTTAAAAGGTCATTATAATTAAGTTATTTGTTATACATATTGACCAACTGACTTTCTACCCCACCAGGACATCACACAAGTGATAAACACCCAAAGACACAATGTGCCACCATGAGGGTGAGGATCACCGTGGAGAGGTCCCAGAAACCACGTTCAGCCTTTAGGCCATATTTATGGCCAGGCTATATTGCAGCCCCTGGCAAGAGCCAGAGTAGGGCTTCAAATAACGAAAAATTTCGTCCTAAAAAGACGAGAAGTTAAATGTGATACATATTAGCCAGATGTTCACACCTTTTTCTCTAGTTCACCAGAAGCAATGGTTTTACAATACGTGAATAAGCTTCTGCACATGTCAACATTTCAAAAATTAGTTTCCAGAGTAGGAAGCAACGTTTCCACCTTGAACTTTTCAGTGTGACTGAGAAGTACCTCTTCTGGCAGTTCTGGTGATCCATCACATCTACACAGACTCTGTTGTCGTTCCTACATTTTCCCATCACTGTAATCTGTATCTGGACACAAACTGCTGGCGTTGAAATCATATTCACTAAACTGGACCCTAGTTTCCTGGTTTTCAAAGACTCTAGAATCAGATAATTAGGTCAACGCAGTTAGACTTCATAACTGGTCACCCTATAGCTGTTCCATTCCTGAGCCAAGGAAAACCATACAAAATGTCCATCACTGTCCCTTATTTACAGCTCACAGTGTCATGCTATGCACTCAACTAGCTAGCTGGGCGACAAAACTAGATTCAAGAAGATGCATGGCAACAAGGATGTTCACATCTTACGATTGATACTGCTTGTTTTATTCATTCTTCCTAGCATGCCATTCCAAAGAAATTTGAAAAAGATTGGTTCCATGTTTTTTTTTGTCTTAACCCCTCTGCCTCTCTCCTTGTATTCACCAGCTGTTCATTGTCAGCTGATAGGGAATCCGGAGCATGTTTTATTTTCTTCAGCCTCCTTCCTTCATTTTTCAGTCTCTCTTTAATTTATTTGCCCTGGGGGTTCCAGAGAAAGGTCTTTCTAGTTAGGTTGACAGGTTTTCTGTGTTTCCTATTCTGCCTTTTCTCATTCTTGGACTTGATGGAGTTTGTCTGGTTCTTCCCATAATCTCAGCTTTCCTGTTCATGATTGGATTTTGAGGCTTAACTCTTTCAGAACAAAGCAACACATCATGCATTAGTTGATTTCTATTTATATGACAGCCCTTTCTTATCTCCCTATGCCCCATGCAGTTGTTATTTTAACTCACTTTCCCTAGTTGTTAATTCAACTTTTTTTGTTGTTGCCACATTGTATTATTATGGTAATTCTCTCAGACTCAAACATCTGTTAGTGGAAGTAACAAATTATTTTGATTAAATGAGTTAAAGTAGCATGTCTAAGTTTCAAAGAGTAAACTCTGTTGGTGCCAGCCTTAACTTTTACTTTAACTCTACCTATATAAAAAGTTATACTTCAAATTTGTCAATATTTCAGTCCAAAGATATTAAAATCATAAAATTTGAGGAAGAAAGACTTATTCGAATGCAAGGAGTTAACTTATTAAGTGTCTGACAGAAGAGAGTTAGAAATGTGTACTGCCTTTACATTAACCAATAAATTTATGATGAACTGCTTCATATCGAAAGAGTTAATCTTTCAAATATTTCAGGGGGTGGTAGATTAAGTGTGTAGTTTTGGTTAAGTTAGGGTTAGGGTTAGAGTTAGGTTTACACGCAAAAACCTTGGCCTTGGAAGAAACATGCTAAAGCCCAGAAAACATGGAAAACCCGCTCTTACTACCCTCTAAAATACTGGACTATCCCATGATGTCGTTTGTGGTCTGCTAAAAAAAAAAAGCACCAACTCTTCTCCTTTGCACTCACCAGCTATAAATTCCAGTGAAAAGTTCCGGTTGTTCATTTTTTCAGGTCATTGGTCATACTCTTTGAGTTTTGCGTGCACATCGAGTTTTCAGATCTAGATTTATTTATATGCAGACTGTTGGTTCCTAACCTCCCAGGTAGATGCACTCCTTTTGTTTTGGGAATGAAATGCCCCTAAATAATCGCCTTGCATGACTTGCTTGTTAGGGATGTGGGTCTGTCTTCCCTCAAGAAAGGGGCCCTGGTGCTTAAAGGAGAAAGCAAGTTAATAAATAAGGAAAGAAAACTTACAAGCAGTTGGTGCTCCAAATAAAATAGGGAAGCCATTTGATGCACACAGAAAACTCCAAGCTCTTTCCATCAGTTTTGTCTTCACAAGCTCATACGTATATGTTTTCAAACTGCAAAATGAGATCTCACATTAGTAACATACTCTAATTTACATTATGCAAATACTGTTAATTGTTTCATTGTGTCCTTATTATCAACCTGTCAATCATGTCCAGCGTGGGATGAAGATCTCTAAAATGAGCAATGTTGTCATTATCATCAACCTAGCACCATGGTCCAACCCATTTGAGCTCGTCCTCCCATGCAGCAGCTCTCTCAGTGTCTACATGTTCACTGTACCCAGGAGTTGGCTGGTATATGTTCATTTCTTTGCCCCACAACTGGTTTCTGCCTTCCAGGGAAAGACATATCACAAGACTTATTAAAATCCATCAGTGTTAATATCCGGATTGGAAACAATTATAGATGAAGGCATAGTACCAGGAAGGAGGGCAGGGCCCACTAACACAAAGATGGGCACAGGATAAAAGTGACTCCTTGAGTATGAAAGTACAGGAGGAGGGAGAGCTGGCGAGAGACCGAGTTTCTTTCAGGCAGACTGTGATGAGAGCGACGTTCTGCAAAGGTCCTGCTACATGATGATGATGAGTGTTAATATCTCCTCCTCAGAATTTCTAAGTGCTGTTGGGGGCTGATCAATCCTCCCATTCAACTCTTTTGTGTATGCAGTTTTTGTTGTCTCTCTGTTATATGTCATTCTCTCTTTATGCCCGTATCACTGTAACTTACCTTCTCTGCCCGGTCCAGACTTCAGATTACTACATAGTCATAAGGTTTCAATATAACTATTATGTGGCTTCTGGGATTTACAACTGTTTGATTCTCATCCTTAAGGTGTTAATCTTGAAGGGAACAAACTACCTACCAAGTAAGTTAAGTAAATTGTACCCCACCAGGACTTCACATGAAGCGATAAACACCCGGTGACACAAAGTGCCACCAGGCAGATGAGGATCACATGTGGAGAGGTCCCGAAAACCCCATTCAACTGTAAGGTTATTGCAGTGTAGGCGTGTCGAACTACCTAACTACTTACCTACCTATCACTGCAATCTATTAGTCCTCATTTACTAATTAGTGGTGATTTAAACAGATTATGACTGAGTCTGAAAATTTATCACAAGTCTCTGGTCTGAAAAGTCTGTAAAAAAGCTTCAAGTTGTATTCCAGGTTTCAGAGCCAAATAGAACGGTTGGTCTTATCAGTTGAGCTGAGTTCAGTCAAGAATTGACACCACAGCCCTCGGGGCATTTCCATACCTACTGATGGTACCAGTCACAATCTGGTTATATGTCCGTCTTGCCATTCCTCTGACTGTAGTGAGCCGGCCAGATCCTCTGGTTACACCCAGGTGCCTCATTGGTCTTATCAATGTTTTATATACCAAGATCTTTGTTTTACGGGTGAAAATTATCTGGTTCTAGTTTTTGATGAGGCTAGGATGATGCTGCTGTTATCACAGTAAAATATAATCCTGCTTCTGCTAGGAATTGCACTGATAACAAACTGACTATCAGGAGCGGTCCTGTGAAACCCGTTTGTGCCGTTTCGTGCGCAGCTGTCTGAGTTGAATATGACCATGTCATAGTCATGTGATAAGCACTTATCAGCGAATAAAAGAGAACATGTTCTATGCTGACCTATCCTAAGATATGTAAAAAAAACATTTTCAAAGAAGTTAATGTGGCCCACTGATATAGTGGCCACATCATCTAAGGTATCAATAAGTACCGAGAAAGTATGTGACTTGCACAATATGCACATGCCAAATATGCCTTCAAGCTAAGAAAAAGGCCTTTTTGGGGGGTGGGGGGGGGGGGAGACTTAAGGTCAAATTTTCTTTGCTAAAAAGTAAATGAAAAAAAAAAAAAAAAAAAACACACACGTGCACACACACAGACCAACCCACCCACAAACACATACAAGCTTATCTGAGAATCAAGGCAGATTTGTTAAAAACTGACTTTGCCTCCACTGTAGACCTAACCTAAAATGGGCACCTTGAAATGCCCTGCAAATTAAAAGTTGGCAGCATGATGGTGACCATGTCTCCCCCATTGAGTGCCAATCGGTCTAAAAAAAAAATATACGTCTAGAGCTATATGTCTGATAAACCTAGTGTCCTTGATCTTTTATTAGTTACAGTAGCATCTTAACACCAACAGACTCTCTCTCTCTCTCCTGCAAATGTCAACAGTTCACCTGTAATAATAGCTTCCACAGCAGATGCCAAAAGCCCAAGCGTACAAGGCATGTGAGCTTTCATCGCTTGCCAGGATGAGCAGCAACGTAAACAGACCACAGAGAATGGCAGATGTCTGGCACAAGTGACGTCTGAAATAAAATACCAATAAAATTTAATATGTCTGTAACAAGCAACTCACCCTATGGTAATTTTGTTAGTTCCCCTTGTGGGTTCCGGTGTCCCACTGTAGGGAAAACAATCCTTGTGTGGGTTCCAAAGTCCCATTGTGGGGAAAACAAGAATAAAAAACACTGCCTACCCAAATGTATGATGTAAGAGTCAACCAGATGGGAGCTTCCTTCGAAGTCAGAGTGCCTCTGCCTGAATGGCAAGGAACCAACAGTTCACATACAGATGAGTCAGATCTGTAAATCAGATGTGCACACAAAACTCTGGTTCTGGCACAAGTCCAGAAAGGGACAAGTAAAAACCAGAACTTTCTGCTGGAATTTAGGGAAAGAAAATCCTTGTGTAGCTTCTAGGACCCTATTTTAGGGGAAGAAAGTCTTCTAGGACCCCATTTTAGGGGAAAAAAATCCTTGTGTGGCTTCTAGGAACCCATTTTAGGGGAAGAAAATCCTTGTGTGGCTTCTAGGACCCCATTTTAAGGGAAGAAAATCCTTGTGTGGCTTCTAGGACCCCATTTTAGGGAAAGAAAATCCTTGTGTGGCTTCTAGGACCCCATTTTAGGGAAAGAAAATCCTTGTGTGGCTTCTAGGACCCCATTTTAGGGGAAGAAAATCCTTGTGTGGCTTCTAGGACCCCATTTTAGGGGAAGAAAATCCTTGTGTGGCTTCTAGGACCCCATTTTAGGGAAAGAAAATCCTTGTGTGGCTTCTAGGACCCCACTTTGGGGGACACTTTGGGGGAAAAGTGATAAGACCCACTGTCACTAGTAAGACTGATGAGTTATGAGTTGAGAACCAACATCATAGCACAACCTGGTTACTCCTCTATACACCATTCTCTTCAGACTGTTGGGTCTATTAACACTTCTATTAACACATCTATTAACACATCTATTAACACATCTATTAACACATCTATTAACACATCTATTAACACATCTACACTGTTCACTCACTCCCAAAGGGCCATTACAAAATTTAGCTGTGCATGTGTGAGGAAATTGGATGTGTTGGACCAAAACAATGGAGTTATTGCAATCTAGCTGTAAACTATGCTCTAACTACCAATTAAAGAACAAACGCAGAAACGGAAGAAGAATTTGTTTGTCTGAAGACAGCACACTTCTTTAATTGTCTTCCATCAAAGACTGTTGTTATATTAACTTTTCCATGTGGGTGTCGGGACTCTCATTGTGGGGAAAACAAGTATAGAAACACTGTCTCCCCAAAAAGAATGTCCTAGGAGTCGACTTCCTTTGAAGTCGGGTGCATCTGCATGAACTACAAGGAACAACTGACTTCACACAAATAAGCCAGTAAAACTGATGTACACACAGAACTCAAATCCTGGCACAAAGCCAAATCTACCTGAATGAAAACAAGGACTTTCCACCAGAGCTTTCAGCCGGTAAACAAAGAAGAAGATATTAACTGATTCTGTCAGAATTAATGGTTAATTTTTTAAGTCCCATACTGCTGTTACTTCAGCTTCTTGATACTCAAACTGGCTTGACTGCTTTCAAGCAGAACTTAGAAGAGATCCTTGGGGATCATTGCCAGAGATATGGAGTTCATACTTTTTGCGACAATCATGGCAGGTGGCTAGCCATTCTGTTGAAAGGGGCCAAGCCATATGGGATAAAACCAGGTGCAATGATGTCGATCCACTCTAATTTAACCTTGATCCTAAACTTATCAGGACAGAAAGAGGTATAGTGTTTACAGGCTGGTATTGAAAGAGTTAAATATCTATATCTGTGTGAAGAAAAAAAAACACAAGAAATAATTGTAGATGACAACATGAGAAAGTGTTTCTGATCAAATAATTGGGAGTTCCCCATATGGGTTCTGGGGTTTCATCATAAAGAAAACAAGAATAGACCCACTGCCTCCCCAACTAGCATGTCGTAAGAGTCGACTAATTGCGGGCTTCCTCTGAAGGCCGAGTGCATCTGCCTGAGAGGCAAGGAACCAACAATCTGCATACAATTAAGTCAGATCTGTTAAAGGGATGTGCACCCAACATTCAGTGTCTACAACAAGACCTAAATCCAGAGGAGGATAACCAATTAGAACTTTACGCCAGAGTTTACAGCCAGTGAACGCGAAGAAGAAGAAGAAGAAGAAGAAAAATTCCCTTTGTTTCAGAGACTTTTGGCCGTCATTCCTGAAGCTATGGAATTAATGTGTTGTGCTAAGTGAACCTCTCGGCAGATGACCAGCAGTTCCGTAGCATCAGACCAAGCCAAATGGGACAACCTGGTGCAATGAAGTCAATTCTTTAAAATTTAGACATCTTTTAATTTTGATAATCATCATCATCATCATGTAGCAGGCCCTTTGCAGAATGTCACTCTCATCACAGTCTGCATGAAATAAACTCGTTTTATTGCCAGCTCTCCTGCCTCACCTTCCTACCCAAGGTATTGCTTATATCCTGTGCCCATATCTGTGCTGGTCAGCTGCTGCCCCTCTTTCCTTGTATCATGCCATCTGTTATTCTTTTTTCAATCAACCATCAGCACTTGACATGGCCATAATATTTCAGTTTCAAAGTCAAGATGCTGTTAATCAGCAAATTTACTTGATGTTTGGATCTTTTAACTCTTTGAGTCCCAGGGGGTTTAGCATCACAGGCCCAAGAGAGACATTAAATGGGCGCATCATGCGTTTATTGGGCATCTAGGTAGGAATCTATGAACGTATGATGCGTTCCTTGGGACTCAAAGAGTTAAGATGTCAGCATTTTTTTTTTCACGGTTAATGGTATTCTGAGATTTTCATAACAAAGATAAATTGATTTAAGAAAAAGGGGGATCAAAATCTTGCTCCTGTTTAACATTTCATTATCATTCTTTTGCCAACTAGTACTTCTTGATCTCCACAAATACTTCTCCACATCATCATCATACAAGGCTCGCAATACATCCTTACGGGCACGGGACTGCAGATGACACCAGGCTGGTGTGGCCATTTTGGTGCCCGAAATATAACTTCTTTGAAGTTAATATGATGTATGTGAGCTTGCCCTGTTAGTGTGCCATCAGCACTAAGACTTTTGTTTTTTTTTAGTGTTATAGTGTGAAACCTTCATAATCTGTTGGTGGTTTTTGACTGAGATCTTTTGACCTCCTTGTCAAACTTTTCATGTAGAAACGATGGAGTCTTATCAATGGGACAGAGCCTGCATAGAGATTCCGAGGGACAATGTTATTATCGATGCCAATTGTCAGAATGGTCACCCTCTCAGTATGAAAAACTGCAGTAGCTCAACAGCTGAACCATTGCCTGCCAAGCCAAAGGTTTTGGATTTGAATCCCCATCGAATCAGACTAGAAGGTAGTGGGTTCTGGTTCTAATAAAGCTGGACCTTTTGTTTTTCTTTAAAAAAAAAAGACCTTGTCAGCTAGGTTGACCCTTGACCCAGACTTAAATGGGTACCATGTAAAGAAAGGACATGCTCTGACCACATCATCACATCTAGTGCTGACTGGTCTAAAAAAAATATAGGTTTAGCCCTATATGCCCAATAAACCTGAAAGTGTTTAAATGGGTCTTTTACTTATTATGTGCCCAATGTATCAATGATGTAAAAATGGCCTTTTAGTTTCTTTCTTCTTCTTCTTCTTCTCCCGTTCTGCCTTTCAGCAACAGGTTTTGAAAAGGTGTCATTTGCGGGCCTTGGCATGTGCTATGTAGATGCTGGTATCTACTGCTTCACATATTCTATCTATCCACTGCTTGCGTGGTCAACCTCTAGCTCTGCTTCCATTGTTTCTAAGTGACAGGACTCTCTGTGGCGTACTATCTAGTGGTAGTCTTTATACATGTATGAACCATTCCTCTGTTGTCTCTTGATATAGCTTAGTATGGGTTTAGTTTTTGTCTTTCCACCTCTCAATATACTTCCTTCTGTTTTTCTGAGCAGCAAAATAATCTCCAGTCGGCCTGCTTGGTCATCTTGTTTAGCTATATTTTATGTTAATTTACTCTTTCAAAGGGAAACGATCAGAGAATCTACTGTACACAAAATTCAAGATATGCGTAAGCCATATGGAGCAGTGGAAAGGTGCCCCAGACAGCTGAACAGATACTCCAGGACTGCAGAGAATTTGACCCTTTAATGCAAACATTTTGGCTAGAAAGAACAAAAGTGGAACATACTTGCTAGAACCACTGAACGACCTAAAAACAACAAAGAAATTTATAAGAGAGACAAAATTGCTGATGTTAGTTAAGTTGGCTGTGCATCCTTTATAGGACGCTCCAGAACCAACCCCAGCACTTTTTGTCTGTTGTGGTTACTTTCAGTAGTTTGCCAATGCTTATTGTATAGTCAGTACCACTGCTGAAACCACTGCAAGACACACTGTCCACAGCTGGGGTCGTACCCGACACCCCAGCATTACAAAGTTCCATCACAACTCCTAAGCCACAGATGCAGACTTGCTGATATAGACAACTTTTTACAGGTAAACAAAAGAATAAGAAGAAGAGGATCTAGTCGACACCCCAAACTCAGTGGGAAAGCAAGATAAGCATTAAAATTAACTCCTTCAGTCCATCCACAGGCAGCTATTATTTTGACACTGGCTATCATTTGCATTTAATGATTACAATGTCTGCAACCAATGAGTTAAAATAATGCAAAGCTGAACTAGCTATGTGAAAGTAACATGGACAGTAAAGACTAAAAACCTATTCTTGAATTTTAAGACAACAGAAATAATGTCCACACACAAAACTGGCTGTCACCCAAAAAAAAAAAAAAAAAAACTATAAATGATAAAGAAATTGAAAATATCACAAACTTTTAATATCAAGGCTCTCTAAGAAATAGCAATGGAGACTGTCTGACAGAAATCAAAAGGAGGACGGCCATAGCAATGCAAAGATTAAATATCATTTAAAGTCTGTGGTTAAACACCAGCAAAGAAGATCAAAATTATAATTTTGAAAGCATGCATCTTCCCTGTAGCAACATATGGATGTGAGTCGTGGACTATCTTTCAGTCCTTAAGAAAAGGAATAGGGGCTTTTGAACTGAAATGCTTTAGAAAGATTTTCAAAATATCCTGGACAAAAAAGATAAGAAATACTGACATTTCAAAAGATCTGAACATCAAGGAAGATTGGCTAATAAACAGCATCTTGTCTCAGAAGCTGAAATATTTTGGTCATATCAAGAGCCATGACAGACTGGAAAAATAATAGGAGAAGGCATGGTACCAGGAAGGAGGGGCATGGACTGACCAACATGAAGATGGGCACAAGATATAAGTGACTATCTGAATATGAAAGTACATGAGGCGAGAGAGCTGGCAAGAGACCAAGTTTCTTTCAGGCAGACCGTGATGAGAGCGAGGCTCTGCAAAGGACCTGCTACGTGATGATAACATCTACAGTACATCACTTAATGAAAACATGGTCCATAAAAACTTGAATTAACCGTCACTTGTCAGTTTCTGTTATCCGTCATTGTCTTTTTAAAAAAAAAAAACCCCAAAGACACAGAAGAAGATTACAGATTATTTTAAAGTGATTAGGTTTATTGTGTTACAATATATTTCTGTAAACTACTACTCCTATATTGAAGTTTATATTGATAATTTTGTACAAATAAATACAATGTGTATTTTATGTAAATTTTTGCCTCACGCCGACAGTGAAATCACATGGGTACATATGTGTCAAGAGATTTCCTTTATCTATCTATTCAGTTATCTGTCACAGCCCTGATCTGGGTGGGGATGGTAAATCAAAGTCTTAATGTTGAAAAAAAAAAAGGATAAACTGTAGCTGGGGCTATTAGTAATAAAACTCAGTACTGGCTGTTGAAGTTCTGGACACATCGCTTATGGGAATGTTTTTTATGCTGTGGTGTCGGTTCTCAACTCAATTCACTTTTCATATAAAGTAGGCAATATCAGGTAACTATGTCTCAATGTGGGTTCTGGGACCCCACTGCGGGGAAAACCAGATGGGACCCACTGTCTCCCTTGGTGAGCATGTCTTTAGAGTCGACTAACTCCTTCAAAATTGGAGAGCATTAGCATGAGAGGCAAGGAACCAACAGTCTGCATACATATGTTAAATCTGTAAAATGGATGTGCACATAACATTCAGATTCTGTGACAATACTAATGTCTCGAGGTGGACGAACAACCACAACTTTACGCCAGAGTTTACAGCTGGTGAATGCAAACAAAAAGGTAACGATGGCCTTACAATGCACCACTTACCTGGAAATGTAACATTCACTGCTGTTTTTAATGGTGATGTAGCCTTGGCTGAAACAGCCAACAACAAAACCCAAACCGAGGTAGACATTCAGCAGAAACAAACGAGTAGGTTCTTCATTGTTCTTCTGGGCTGTCCTGACCTGTTGATTGATTGGTTGATTCTGGTTTAGACGATGGACAAACATCATGGCACAAGGGTAGTAATCTATAAGTAATCCATTCTACTTTTGACTCAAGCCCGAGTCTGAAAAATCTCAGCACAGTGCACGAACTCCGTAGCACCGGCGAAGATGCTGAAATACTTTGAGTAGATTTTTTCTCCAAATTTTGCTCAGGCAGTGCCGTTAGGCTACTATATTTCAATTTCCAACTGGCAAGGGATTTTTTATGTGCGTAACACTACACACGGGCGTCTTATCTTACTACCCAGAGACCAGGAGAAATTACTAGAAGTCAACATGAAAAAAATCCCAGCCTTCACTGGGGCCTGAATCCGAGACCTCCAGCACTCGAGGCGGATGCTATGCCTCAAGACCACGCAGCCCCCCCCCCCCCCATTGGTTGAATCTACTGACAAATGAGAATCAGAACTACAAAACTTTGGAGCCACCAGGGTGTAGAACCAGACACTTGCCAGCGGACTGAAAGATCGTGTGTTCATGTCTCGATGGAGCCAGACATCTATTTAAAGTGACCCTGGTTCCCAGGTAGACCCAGTTTTAAAATGGTACCAGTGAAACTCCTGGGAAGTTAAGGCAGCCGGCGTGATTTTGACCACATCACCCACCGAGTGCCAGCTGGTCTATAAATATAGGTCTAGCTTTAGATGTCCAATACGTCTGAAGGCGGGGAACAGGGTCCTTTACTTTTGCTACAAAACATACACATGATGATGATGGTGGTGGTGGTGGTGATGATGATGATGATGATAATGATGTTGATTATGACAAGATAATGGTGATAATGATGATAATGTTGGTGATAATGACATTCATTAGGAGGACACAATAATGATTATGATAAAGATGGTGGTTATGATGATGGTGGTTGTTATGATGATGGTGGTTGTTATGATGATGGTGGTTATGATGATGTTGGTTATGATGATGGTGGTTATGATGAAAATGATGGTTATGATGATGATGGTGGTTATGATGATGATGGTGGTTATGATGATGGTGGTTATGATGATGGTGGTAATGATGAAGATGATGGTTATGATGCTGATGATGGTTATGATGATGATGGTGGTTATGATGATGGTGGTTATGATGATGATGGTGGTTATGATGACGATGGTGGTTATGATGACGATGGTAGTTTTGATGATGATGATAATTATGATGATGGTGGTTATGATGATGGTGGTAATGATGATGATGGTGGTTATGATGATGATGGTGGTTAAAAAAAATGTAAAGGACCCTTGTCCACGCCTTTAGGCGTATAGGGCTTATAGGGCTAGACCTATATTTTATAGACCAATCGGCACAACATGGGTAATGTGGTCAGCATCATGCCAGCCGCCTCTACTTCCCGGGACTGCACCCGGTACCCACTCAAGTTTGGGGTCAATCTGGCAGAGGCATGATTTACTAAGGAAAATACAGCGGTGGTTTTCCCTTGCCTTCTGCCTTTTTGTTTATGGTTTACCCCATTAGCCTTTGTCTAAAGAGACACACCCTACAAAGCAGCAGTCCGGAGAGGTTATAAAGGCGCTTTTTACAAGCCGATAGCCACGTCATGGAGTTTTGCAGTTTTGAGAATTTCTTGGACAGCTAAGAAGAGCAACCCAGATGTTTTGAAACAGGCGAATGCCCGAGGACAACTTAGCACAAACATCAGAAAGAGACAGTCATAATTTTTTTTATTATGTTATCAGAAGAGGGGAAATGGAACATGTAGTGACCACTGGCAAGATCTGTGGAGAGAGAGACAGAGAGAGAGAGAGAGAGAAAGAGAGAGAGAGAGAGAGAGAAAGAGAGAGAGAGAGAAAGGAAGACAGCGTGAGAAAATTCTTTACAGTCTTTTGTCATTGCATGTAGGGGTGTCAACACACGAACTAATACACCCAGTTGCAGATCGCAGATTGTGGAGAGGCATGATCGCCCATGCCAGTCGGCAAAGCACTTGATGATAATGATGATGATAACACTCGTTGCTGTATGTGTATACCCCTTTAAGGGCACTATATGGAGGCAGGAAAAGAGTGGGGGAAATGGGGGGGGGGGGGCAATACGAGCCTGGGGATTTAAGGCAACATAACATATGCAGTCCCCACAAACTGCACAGGGTGAGATTTTCATGTTTTTTTTTTTAAGATAGCAAAATATCTCCACATCTCAACAAGGACCGAATTCGGGTCTCCTGCATGAGATCTCAGGACTGCAACGACTCAGCCAGCTGTTCCTCCCCTTTAGAAGAGTGGGTTTAAACGTTGAATGTTGGATTAAATTTCAACAAAACACCACTCTGGACATTCCCTCAAGCGCTCCGCTCCCATCTTCAGGAGCAAGCACAGAGTTCCGGTGGCATCAGTAATAGTAAAGCCAATGAACAAGTAAAAGTCAAGGACCCTTTTCCACGCCTTTCAGGTGTATTGGGCATATAGGGTTAGACCTATATTTTATAGACCAACGGCTATTAGTGGGTCAGCATTACACCGGCCGTCTTTACTTCCCAGGACTACACATAATACCCACTCAAGGCTGGGTCGACCTGGGAGCCAAGGTCATTTTTGAAAAAAGTCTGGCTCTTGTCAGGATCCAAACCCATGACCTTCTGATCCGCAGGCGAGATGAGTAACAGTATGACTATAATCCCGTCTCACCTTTCCCTTGAGTTCCGAGCGTCGACCAGATCCCCTGGCCACTCCTCTCCGGCAAAGGGAAGTCTAACACCGTACTCTTATTTTTGTGAACAACTCTCTGTTTTTGTTCTTATTACCCCCAAACCATCTATTTCATTTCCATGAAACAGAACCTATTTGTTGGCACATTCCAATCTCCAGGGCTTCAGTTCGACTTTCTAACGGCTTGTTTATTGTCCAGGTTTCTGTGCCACACAGTAGGGCTGACTTTACTCAAGCTTTGACCTTTTGCCACCCTGCTAGATTTCTTTATTCAGTGTATCTAATCAAGTGACGAAGGTTTCTAATGTGGAAAAAACAAAAAGTGTTTATCACACAATTTATAAACGTAATTACTAAAACAGTGGAGCAATTACGAGAACAGCCTTGACTATAATAGGATGGACAAAAAACAAAAAAAAAATCAGTTCAAGCTCTTTAAAATGAAGGTCTTCAGAAGGCTTGAACGAGTTCCTTGAATGAAAAACAACGACAAATAAGGAAGTCTTATTCTAGAGCAAATCAATACAGAGGAAATGCTGTGGACAGAAATGATAATAAGGTCGAGATATTTTGGTCACAACAAATGAGATAATCTACTGGCAACAGTAATGGGTGTAGAACAGTAGAGAATAAAGAGGGTGGCAAAGACAGAAATAGACAAGATGAAGTATAAAAACCAGGCATGAGTAGACAGTAGTACTATGTGCAATCAAGGTTTAGAAATCAATTCTAAAATAAAACAGATTTTAGATGATGCAGAACCAACTGCAGCATGTTCTTTCTGTTGTCGTTTTTGTAGATAAATTTACGTTTAGTAGTTTGCCATTTCTTTCTAAACAGTCAATTTTCTATACCACTGCCGAAACCAATGTAACACCGCCTGCTACCTAATTGCCTACAGCTGGGATTGAACCCGACATGAAGGTATTACAGAGTGCATCCTAATGACTGAGCCACAGACAATATGATAAGAAGAAAACCGAATGCTGATAAATACAGGCTGTCCCATAGCGAGTAGTAGTAATTTTTCAACAATTGTTCAGCCCTCAGGGTTTTATTTGAAATACATAGTGTTAAGCTGAGTTCTCACAGTATGTATTTGTTTTAAACTTATATTTTTAAACTGTGCCATTTCCACAATGAAGGTTGACTGTAGTGTACCACTGCTTTCTTTGGGAATATTAGATGGTGAGGCCCCAATCTCTTCCATGGTGCGACTCTCGTACCATTGTCAGAAAACCACGAGAACTGATTTTCCCTGTCCACTGCAGGGAACAAACCACAGTACTTGAGGATCATTAATATATTTATACATCTTGTAATTATTTATATGATTATAATATAGTTTGTATTGTTCCACATTTTGCTTTGATTTGGGATGTGAATATATCACGATTATGATAGAAACTGTACAATGAGTAATTAGAAAAGCTTATAATTTGTATTGTTCCACATTTGGCTTTGATTTGGCATGTGATTATGATAGAAACTGTAATTTGTATTGTTCCACATCTACTTTGATTGGCATGTGATTATGATAGAAACTTACAATGAATAATTAGACAATCTTATAATTTATTGTGTTTGTTTGATTTGGCATTTGTACAATGGCTTTGATTTGGCATTTTTGATTTGCATGTGATTTACAAGGAATAATTCGACATATCTTATATATTTGTGATTGTGATAGAAACTGTGTATTATTTGAATAATTAGGACAATTTTTTTTTTTCTATGAATAATTAGACAATCTTATAATTTGTATTGTTTGACATTTGGCTTTGATTTGGCATGTGATTATGATAGAAACTGTACAATGAATAATTAGACAATCTTATAATTTGTATTGTTCCACATTTGGCTTTGATTTGGCATGTGATTATGATAGAAACTGTACAATGAATAATTAGACAATCTTATAATTTGTATTGTTTGACATTTGGCTTTGATTTGGCATGTGATTATGATAGAAACTGTACAATGAATAATTAGACAATCTTATAATTTGAATTGTTCCACATTTTTGGCTTTGATTTGGCATGTGATTATTATAGAAACTGTACAATATAATTAACAATTAGATAATTTTAATCTTTATACATTTGGCTTTGATTTGCATATGTGATTATGATAGAAAATTAGACTTTACAATGATAATTAGCAATCTTGATAATTGGCATGTGACATTTGGCTTTGATTTGGCATGTGATTATGATAGAAACTGTACAATGAATAATTAGACAATCTTATAATTTGTATTGTTTGACATTTGGCTTTGATTTGGCATGTGTTTATGATAGAAACTGTACAATGAATAATTAGACAATCTTATAATTTGTATTGTTTGACATTTGGCTTTGATTTGGCATGTGATTATGATAGAAACTACAATGAATAATTAGACAATCTTATAATTTGTATTGTTCCACATTTGGCTTTGATTTGGCATGTGATTATGATAGAAACTGTACAATGAATAATTAGACAATCTTATAATTTGTATTGTTCCACATTTGGCTTTGATTTGGCATGTGATTATGATAGAAACTGTACAATGAATAATTAGACAATCTCACTAACATAACACAGTAGATATACTGTTTCCTTAGTGTGCAATCATTTGATTAATCTCCTTTTTATAAAGGTTTTCATGCATGGGAAAGAGAAAGGGGAGTGTATGTTACCAAAGCCATTGTAACCTTATGCTGGCCATAACACCCACCAAGTGCCAGGTGGTCTATAAAATACATCAGTCAGTCAAACAAACTTTAGTCTCCCCACAGAAAGTAGCTCGTGTTCCATTTATAACTGTCTTGGACTGGTCTAACCTGCTAGACAAAATGGGTGTGCCGCTCTGCTGTTTGCTTTGGTGGGATGTCTAGCCTTTTTTTTAAATTCCAAGAAAGAGAATGTCTGTGCCATAGGTTTCATCACTCTCTAAAGGGGTTTGTGTTAGACCCAGTTTGTTGATGTTTTTGTAGTGTTATAAGGGCTGGAATGCTGAAAGTTAGAAGACGTGATATCAGCGGCATTGGGAAACACCCCCCTTGACCTTGTGCCAAGATAGGGTGGCTCAAGGTCAACCAATCAGAAGTAAGCTAGGCTGAAGGTATACCAATTAGAAGTGAACTAGTGTGTATATGAACGGTTCGTGGGGAGACCAATGTTACTATTACCAAATATACCTCTAGCCTTATATGTCCAATTCGCCTAAAGGCGTGGAAAAGAATCATTTGCTTACTACAAGTATGCAAGCAATAATGGTCACAATTTAATATTAATGCTAAAAAAAAAAACAAAAATCGCTGACTCACCAGAAGGACAAAGGGAACATGGATTCCAAAACCTATGACAGCAGAAATCACCAGCAATGCTCTCAGCGACCTCATCCTCAAAGCACTGAAGTCTAAGTATGGAGGCTTCTCCGCTTCTCTATCTCTTCTGTTCTTTTTCTGACTTTTTAAATGAAGAATGACCTTTCTGCGAGGGTGGTAGAGGTTGGCCGATCGGTACATGGCACTGGCAATGATGGTCAGGACCAGAAGACCGGCCACACACTGCAATCCATGCATCCAATCAATGACTCTGGAACGACAGAATACATGTTTATAAACTGGTGCACATTTTTTACCGTTTAACAATGTAGACCCACAGTTAGAAAATTCCTACATCTTCGGTGTCTTCTCTCCCACCCCAGCCCTCAAAGAGACATCTACCCCCATTAGTGAGTTAGTTTTTCTTCTCGAACCCAGGGTGGTTCATAGGGCAGAGATCATAGATCTCCATGTCTGGTGGTTCGTTGCCCATGTTTGAGCCTTCCTTAAAGATGGTTCTACCCAGAATCTCTGTTGGGGACTTCCAATTTTTTTTTTTTTTTTGTTTAAAACCATAGCTAGAAGCTGTAATCTTACTCACTTCAGCCTCTAACTCCGAATATCCCCTTAACAAGCGTGCCTACCTCTTGTTTGCCCCTTCCCCACCTTCTCTAACTCCATTATCCAGGATTTTTTAAAGTCTCCTCAAAACATACACACACACACGCATATCTTGTTGGTTACAGTGCAAGGTCATCCCAGCTAGATATGACAGGCTGTCTCAAAGTATATTCTGTCCAACATCAGCATTAATTCTCAACTCCTAATTGAACGGAATTTGTTCAGTTCTCTTTCACTTACACTTGCAATTATGTCTTCTTCTTCTTCTTTTGTCCTAGCGCTCATGCTGCAAAGCATCGCAAAAAAAGGGTTATATGTAGTTTTTCTGTCTTTTGCTAGTTGCGTAGCTTGTGTTAATGCCACACTGAGTATCCTAGTGTCTCTTTTGCTCGCCTCTTGCTCTCAAGGCTGTTATTCTCATGTAGTAAGCTCCAGATGCTGGCTGATTTTGTTCCATTCTGATACAATGACCAAACCATTTGCATTTTTGACGTTCTTTGAAATCTTTACCGGTACCGTGTTTACTATTATTATTAGTTCTTCACTGGTGACCCTGCCTCTTCCTGTTTATGTAATTCTATAATAGCATTCAACTCCCTCTATTCTGCACAGCTACCAATTATTAAATGTTTGCACTTTGTTAGAACTGTTTTCATCACTCTCAATTTCTGCTCCGTCGGCTTTACGATTTAACATTATCGTTATATTTTCTAACTGTATTATTTAACTAATCTAAATGGGAGGCTGAACAATATTTCAACTGATATATTTCGACGTAAAATATTTTGACAATTATCAGAATGATATCGCTGGCACCAAAAACCATCTACACCACGCATTCATCGATTTCAAAAAGGCCTTTAACATTTTGCGGCATGCAGAACTTTTGTGATACATTCAGTACTCTTGGAATATATGCAGAAAAAGATGGGGAAAATATGATGGGGGGAAATCGTCAGCCTGAGGATTTAGGATCGCATGGCTAGTTCTGTCGCCACAGACTTTAGTACAGGTTCGGATGTTTAATTTTGCCCCCGATAGAGAAACTCCAACACCTCACGGAAGGGAAAGGGTGGGGGGGGGGGGGGGGTTCCAACGTTTTAACCGCTCAACCAGCCCAACACCGTTTAGAAACACAGAAAGGAGATAACACTCATTCATTACTTTCCTACTTTTACAATGTTAGCCCCCCCCCCCTTTTCCCACCCCCATAAACAAGAATCCTACACACACACAAATATATATATGTGTGTGTATATATATAGATATAAATTGTATATATTACTCACACACACACACACATATCCCTTTCTCTGTATACACCATCTGCTTTGTTTATTCGTCGATTCTTTCTGCGGAAGAACAACTTGGTTAGCGCGATGTTGGTCTCTCCAGACGTCGCCCATATACACACTAGCTCACTTTTGATTGGTAATCCCTGAGCTCCATAACTTTCGCACACGGTTACGGGAGTGTTCGGCAATGCCGTTGATATCGCGTGTTGTATATTTCAGTACGCCATCGCTTTTAACACTCTAAAAACATGGACAAACTGGGTCTAACACCACCCTCCCCATCCCTGAGAGTGCTGCAACGTATGTCACAGGCATTCTCTTTCTCGGAATGAAAATGTAGACGCAAGACTTCGCAGAAACCAAACAACAGAGCGGGACACACCCGTAACCTTCAGAAAAGTCGACCAGCCCAACAAACCTGTGAATGAAAAGTGACCTACTCTATTTGGGGGAGACTAACGGCGAACTAACCGAACAAGTTTTACTGGACAAAAAGAACCTAACCTAGCCCGCTAATGATTTGAGAAGAGGCTTTTCTGTAAAACAGTTTGAGATGGCTTAAAATTACAACATTAAAAGTGCCATAGAAGAGCGCCATTGTCTTGTAACATGCCAATATTATTTTTAAGGATGTCAAGAGTGTTAAGGATGACATGATAGTTAAGTAAGCCACGAGTGTTAAGCACGTGACATTACCATGCCGACGAAGTTGGTGACGTCATTAGGGTAGTTTAAATAAGACCGCCCAAATTTGACATGCACCAAAGAGGAGCAGCGTTATGTTCACCTGAAGCCCCCTCATATTAACGTGCTGTCGATATGATTTTAACAATACCAACACTTTCAGTCCCAACAAGTCATCATGCATGATTTGCAATTGCTATTTTTTAACACACAACGTGTATTGTCACCTGACGCCTAGGAAAGTAATCTAGCCGCTTATTGAACACTTGCCATATTCGATACAAGGACTATTTATGTTGCTTCTGTTAAAACAGCTTACTCATGGTGTATTCGTTGTGGCTAATGCTGTGTAGTGACCCCTTAAGCTGAGTCAAGAGTTGCCATCACAACACTCGGGGCATTCCTATATGCGCTCTATCCCCATCTTCAGCAGCCAGCGCAGAGTACCAATACTAATGGTGCCGGTCGAAGTTTGATTACATGTCCGTCTTGTCCTGTCTTCTGAGTGTAGTGAACCGGCCAGACCCTTTGGTCGCACCCAGGCGCATCATTATCTCATCGCCATTATAGTCCAGTTTCTCTTGTGGTTATTTTTTTTTTTTGTAAGCAGTTGCCGTGAAAATCTTATCTACACCACTGCCTGTCTCAAGCCCGGGTGAGAAAATAGGAGGGTTTGGCGTGTGACTCTATCCTCCATTCGTTAGATATTTGGCTTCAGAAATGGCAGGAAAGGATGTTATTCCGGTGACCACATGTAGGAATAGATCGCGACCTAAGTGGGACATAAGACAATTATGATGATGATGATGTGCAACTCTGGGACTGAAAAAAAACTTGTTTTCCTCACGCCTTTCAGGCGTATTGGGCATATAGGGTTACATGTACCTTTTTTAACCAATCTTGATGTGGTAAACATAACAGCCTTTACTTCCTAGGACTTAACCTGGCACCTATTTAAGATGGGGCCAACTAGGAGCCGAGGTCATTTCTGAGAACAGTTCGGCTCCGCCAGGCCCTGAACCCACGACCTTCAGTTCCGCAGGCGAGCGTCTAGCCGTTTACACCACGACAGCTCCCCTTGGCCCAACAGAGTTGGGGAAGGAAAAAAACACCTCCTGGGTGTTCCCTTTTCTTTTTTCCACCAGTTTGTTTATACATTCCTCTGTTTGTCCATGACAGAACAAGTCTAATATCAGAATGAGAGCGCAACGTCCTAAAGGCCCCGCCAAATGTTCCTCAAAACAACAAGGTTTACATTAAAAAAAATCCCGATACACTTTAACAACATTAACAAATTGTACATAACCAGTTTCCCCTTCTCTGCATCCACCATCTGGTTTGTTTACTTCTCGATTCTTCCATGACAGAACCAATTTTACACCAGCAATAAGAGAATAACCTCGGCAGAATCTATTTTCGGTTTGAATGAAAACGTGCAAACAAAGGCAGGAAAAAAAAAAAGAGACAAAAATAAAGCAGGAATAAGGAAAACGAAAGAAAAAAAAAATCAAATCGGCCATGAAGCCAAACTTTTAATAGACATTCCAAATCTCCTGCAATAAGAGCCGTATAAATCGGTCGCTTAGCGTCATGTTGCCACGGCAACAGTGACTCGAGCCCTGCGCGTGACGTCAATATGTGGCTGTATTTGGACCGAGCCGCGTAGAGGTCGGGCTATCTATGGCACAGCTCTCCGGAATAAACGTGGTTAGGAAACATCATTTTGTTGTTCCTCTCGATTGATGAGGCTGTCAGAAGGAGAGTGAGGTGATGGTGATGCAGGTGAAAACGAAGGCAAGGGGAAGGGGGCCCGAGAAATCAAAGTCCTTCTTTAAAAGGCTATGTTTATATTAGTAGGAGAGGCCGGTAGAAAGGCTCCGCGGACAACAAAGACGAAAAGTATTAAAGATTCTAAAACTGTATTGACTCTAATCAGACGAGGAATACATAGACATAAAGTTAATGAAGAATTTGACCAGGTCAGCTGTTTGTTTTGTGTCTGCTATGTCACTTTCCTTATATACCGGTGGTTCTTAACCTTCCTAATGCGGCGACCCTTTAACACGGTTGCTCCGTGTTGTGGCGACCCCCCAAACTATAAACAATTTTCATTGCTCTTTGTAAATCAGTAAATATGTGCTTTCCGATGGTCTTAGGCGACCACTGTAAAAGGCTCGTTCGACCCCCAAAAGGGGTCGCTGGCGGTATGCAACGTTTGCAGTACCGGCATCTTTTTGTAGTATCACTTGAGCGATTCCCTCCCCCCGCACAGACCTACTGTAATGGACTGAGACCTCCGAGTTATAGCGGGCAAATGTACGCCTGCGAAGGCCAGACTTATTTTTTTTTTGACTTTGGTATCCACGTCGGCCCAGCTTTAAATGGATACCAGATAAAGTTATGGGAAGTAAAAGCGGCCGGCGTGATGCTGACATCCCCCACCGACTTTCGGTCAAACTGGTCGCTAGGTACGGCCACTGTTTTAAGCCGTGGTAAATGTGGCCGTTGCATTTTTGCTCTATTTTGTAGACTGCAAGGATATAGTTTCGGCGCCCAGCTTCTAAGCTAAGTGGATGGTGTGACACTGTGAGCTGCGGATTTCATTTGGAATGTTTGTCTACTGTGACCAACGTGGTAGTGTGAATTGTAGATTCAGAAAATAGTGCGATGC